TGATAGACTATGGCCAAGGCCAAGGAATCCAAGAGGTGATATCTTAAAAGAACCAAGAGGAATGGGATGATCTTAAAGACCTTTTTCATATATTTTGTACATAGTTCCTTTGTATAGGTCTAATTTTGCCTTTGTATTTGTGAGACACTTTACTTGCTTTTAATTGGTGATTGTATATTGATTTTAGGGTGGGTTACTTGGAGAGTTTAACTCCATTTAACCTCCTTTGTTGATACATTCATTTTAAATTTTTTTAGTAGGGAAAATGGGGTGGCATTTAGCAATGCTTGAGGGTGTGACTAGTAATTGGGCCAGAACTGGGCCTAGGCAAAATTTTGCATATTAGACTCATTTTGCTCCTAATTTTTCATAGATTTGATTTAACTAGGTATCATCATCATATGATGATCCTAACTAAACCAAATCAAATATTTTTGAAATAAATCAAGGAGCATTTTGGAGCCTTGGCCGCCTAGCCTCCACCTTTTGTTCTTGGCCGAAATTTCTAGCTTCTCCTACAAGCTTTGAAGCTTGCCTTCCAAGTCTCTAAACCTTGGTAGGTTAGGCTGACCTTACCATGGTTCTTAAGTGAACCATGGTCAAGGTTAGCTTCTCCTACAAGTTTTAGAAACCATGGATGGTTAGCTACACCTTACCATGGTTCCTAGTGAACCATGGTTAAGGTTAGCTTCCACTACAAGCTACCTCTCCCTATATATTTGTTTTCTCTTCACTTGTAATCACTTTTGAACATTTGAGAAATAAAACTTCAAATTTCTCTCTCAAGAGTCCCTCTCAAAACCGAAGAGAATTTTCTCTCTAAGGTTCTCACCAAAGGTTTTCAACCTTTGCCTTGGTTCCTCAAGCTTCCTTCACAAGCTAGGAAGTAACCGATCTAATTCCATTGCTTCTCCACCATTGGAGAATCCTCCAAGGTGATTCTCCCACCTCAAAGGAGTTCTACCTCAAGAGTTCACAGTCCTAAGCATGGAGAACTTGGAAGAACAACAATCTTCTCCAAGTGCTTCCATCATTTTTGGTATCTAGAGCCTAGTGCTCTCACTACAAGAAAAATGCTGATTTTCGACGGAAATAGGTAAATTTCCGACGGATTTTGCTTTTTCCGACGGATTTTCGACGAATTTCAATCCGTCGAAAAAAGTGGCGTCGGAAAAAAAAATCCATCAAAAATAATTTTTCAAAAAATTCCGTCAAAAAATTCCGTCAGAAATTTTCGACAGAAAAATCCGTCGAAAATTGCTGTCAAAATTTCTGACAGAAAAATCCGTCAGAAATTGCTGTCAAAATTTACGACAGAAAAATCCGTAGGAAATTATAATTTTTTTTTTTAATTTTAATAAATTTAT